TGGTAGTTTCTTTATTCCTTCTTTTGTATATTTGCCTTCTTTGACCCAGTGTTTGGTGCAATTGAGCTTGCATCTAAATTCCCTCTAATCCTGCCTCCTCCTTTAATACTGTCAGAGAGGTATACAGCAGTGAAACAGGGCCTTTAGCCCAATTTGTCCATGTTGGCCAAGCTTCCAAAACTGAATTAGTGCCATTTCTCTGCATTTGGCCAAAATCCCTCTAAACCTTTCCTATCCATGTACCTGTCCAAATGTCTTCTAAATGTTGTAATCCTAACTGCCTCTACCATTTCCTCTGGCAGCTCGTTCCATATTCACACCAACCACTATGTGAAAAAGTTGCCCCTCACCTCCATTTTAAATCTTTTCCCTCAAATTTTGGACTCCTCTACCCTGGGGTAAAGATCTTGGCTATTCAGCTTATCTACGCCCATCATGATTTTATAAACCTCTTAAGTCATCCCTCAGCCTCCTACACTTCAGGGAAAGATTTCCCAAGCCTATCCAGCGTCTCCTTAGACTCAAAACATCCAGTCTTGGTAACATCCTTGAAAATCTTTTTTGTACCCTTTCCACTTTAATGACATCCTTCCCACATCAGAGCGACCAGAAGTGTGTGCTGTACTTAAAATATGGCTGCACCAATGTCTTGTACAGCCAAAACATGATTTTGATGTCCCAACTCCTGTACTTCAATGCTGCGACTGATGAAGGCAAGCATGCCAAATGCCTTCTTCACCACCCTGTCTACCTTTGATGCCACTTTCAAGCAACTATGTAGCTGCACCCCTTGAGCTTCAACAACACTCCCCAGGGCCCTACCATTAACTGTTTAAATTCTGCCTTGGTTTGTTTTTCCAGAATGCAACACCTTGCACTAATCTGAATTAAACTCCATCTGCTGTTCCTTGGCCACTGGCCCAGTTGAGCAACATCCCATTGTACTCTTAAAAATACCATCTTCACTGTCCATTACACCACCAATTTTGATTTTAAGATCTTCCACAGAACCTAAATCTTTGACCACTCATTTTTCTACACCTTGTGATATTTCTTTCTTTTGCTTGATCTGTTTTTAAGTTCACATTGATCTCCTTTATCTGTGCTGCACCTTGGGACATTCTTCTACATTGAAGACTATAAAAACACCAATAATTCCTGCTGTTATTATTTCTTCCTGTGACCCAGAGTAAAAGCCAGTGTACCCAGAGGTAAAGCACACCATTATCTGAATGGATGCTTGATATCCTTCTGAACAAGGGAATAAGATAACTGGCCGTTAGAGTTTCCAAACAATGTAGGTTGCCTGGCATGCAATCCTGACAGGTAACTGGGTGCATATAAATTAGGTGATCATCAGTTGAACCCAGCACTACTGCCCATTACAGAGCAGCCAACGAATAAACAGGATGGGGGTGAAAGTCTCATTCTTCACCAATTAATGCCCCACTGAGTATTAATGGTTGCAGGCCAGCTGGCATCAGCAGGGCTGTGACCTCTGTTAACACTGAGGGGGCAGAGCAGGAAACCTTGGATTCTGAATAAATCCTGCCTGACACGTTTTTAAACCATCAGGTATTTTCTTAGGTACTATAACTGATGCTAGCTATTTGTTCCAAATTTATTTAATAATCCAAATTGAACTCAACTGCATAATTCAGCTGGTTCTTTTGACCATCACCTTCAATGTGCATCCTTAGCTTTTTGACAGTCTGCATTGGAAGCAGTTTCTTCTTGTCTATTTTGAGAAGATCATTGATAATTTTGAATACCTTTACTAAGGGCTCAGAATTTATTTTTCAAAGGATCTTTTTGAGATTTTCTCAACTGCTGCTTTTGGTTTCCGGAGTCTACAATTTGTTTTTCAGGGACTCCTTTTTCATGCTCGCTAACTCATTTATTTGATGATACACTCATGAAAACAATGCCTTCCATATTTAACAAATGGGGTGTTTCTTCTCATACCAAAGCATCATTAGAAGACTTCAACAATATCCTCAGCACACATCATCCTTCCATTAAACTTAAAGCCACAACACAAAATGCAAATATAGATTTCCTAGACACCGCAATGCTTAACTTTTGTTTAATCTTGGGCAAAGTTAACAAAAGCTTTCTTTTCAAGATAACTGACACAAGTACACACAAAAAGCCATCACCCCAGTCCTGCCTTCTGTACACTGAAGTGAGGTCACAGCAAATATGTACACAAAACTGGAAGACTTTAACCAGGCAGTTACCACATAACAGATTTCAATCTTAGATTTAAATTTAACAATTGATATAGTGTTCCATACTTCTGCAACATATATATTTTGCACCTACAGTAACTCCTCATTCATGCAGCTTTAAGCCAGAGATTGCACATTCATTTGCAAGGAATTGATTACCTCAATGAGTTAAAGTTTTCCTGGCTGTTACTTTGCTATATATTCCTTTTGCCAGTTTAAAGCTGTTTTCTTCATTTTGTATCTTCCATCTCTCTAAACCCCTTTGCAGTCTTTGTCTCCATTTCCCCTCATTGAATCCATCCACTCTTACCTTGCAGCATCCTTTTCCCCCAGCCCCTGTTCGCCCCTCCCATGCTTGCAGCATCCCATTCCCCCTTCCCCTTGCAGATTTCCACTTCAGTCTTCTTGAGTGAATTGAGGTTGCTTATTTCTGTTATTATTCTACTAAACCTCTTCTACACCTCACCAATGCACTGGCATTCTTCCTGAAGTTCAGTGCTCCCACTAAACAACCCTAAGTTTAGGGTAAAAAGTGTTTCCGAAAAGTTTTTCACAATTTTCTTGCTTTCGTGATTCATGATTCCAAAAACACTATTTTTCAAAATTGTCTTAACTGGTTCTTAAACTATGAACATTTGTTTGCTAAATCCATTGTTCCTTCACCTCCTTTAAAATAGCTTATTATTGCCTCTCCTCATTTCTCCAGACAAGTGAATAATTTCAAATATCTTAGTGCTGGATCACACCTGTCTGTTTTACAAATCAGTAATTGTCCTTTTAAGGCTAATCCATTAGCTCCTTTTTGAGAAGACATTTTTGAGCATTGTATCATTTGTAACATTTTTCCCTTTGAACCCAAGTCAAGATCATTAATACATACTTTAAAGACCAGTGGACGAAACACCAACCCCAAGAAACCTACTTCCCTCCTCTCTAAAAACAAAACAATTGTTTCTTGTAGCCTGCTTTCTGTCCCTTAGTCAATTCTGTATTCATACCGCCACTATTCTTTCAATCCCATGGATTTTAACTGGTATTTATGTGGTACTTTGTCAAGCAACTATTAAAGTCACTAGACATTTAAAATAATGTTGCTACCTTCATCAATGCATTCCCGTTTCATCATATAACTCATTCAAGTTTAGTCCAGCATCTTTGGTCTTTAATGAATCAATGCTGACTTTCATTTATTAGCTCATAATTTTCTAAATGCTAATTAGTTTTGTCCTGGATTATTGCCTCTGAAAACTTTCTACCACAATGTTCAACCAATTATCCTTTAGCTGTCAGGTTTATCCCTCTCTCCATTTTACAACCAGGGATGCAACAGTTGTCATCTTCCAGTCCTCTGACAAATTTCCCATGTCGAAGGAGCATTGGAGAATTGTGGCCAAAGCTTCTGTAATTTCAACACTTTCCTCATAGAATGCATCCCAAAAACTGTAACTCTTTAAGAGCCTCAACTTTATCTGGTTTTATCTATCCAATATTATTCCTGGATCTTTCTGTGATACTACCTTGTCACAATCTTTTTCTCTTCTCTGGTGAAGAGTGACTGCAAAGTATTCATTTAGTAACTCAACCATACAGTTTGCCCACAGAAATGTCTCCTTTTGGTCTCCAATTGTCCTGAACCTTCCCTTGATCGCATTTTTCCAATTTATAGTTGCATACGAGTTTTGGATTCCCATTTATGTGATCCCACTAAGTTATTCTCATGCACTCTTTTTTTCATGCTTTTTGGTGTCCCCACCACTTTCCATAATCGGCTCACTTCTGGACTGTATTATGAACTGTGAAATGATCATAAACATCCTCTGTATATTTAAATTGGACTTCAATGTTTCTAGTCATCTAGGAAACTGTAGTTTTGGATGTCTTTCCTTTTTCCCTCATGGTAATATGTTAACTCTATACATGATTAAAATAGCAATTTTTGATTTGTCTCTATTGGTCAGACTCTTTTCAAAGGAATTAGCCCTCATCCAGTTCAGTATTTCTACAATTGACTGTCCTTTGTCTTTGTAAATAAATTTCCTACATCTTGCTAATATTATGATCAATGTTTTCTCAGTGAAACATGTCTCACTTTCCTCATTTCATGTCCCCAGAACAAGAGTTAGAACTGCCACCTTCCTCAACAATCAAGAAGGTTCTTATCCACATTTCAGCACATGACAGCACATTGTCATTACGCTGTTACCATATTTGTTAATTAAATCCCTGATTACCAAAGCTCTGAATTTCTTACTTATTCTGCAAGTTACATGCAAATTTATACCTCTGCCTCCATTCCACTATTCAGTAGCCTGGTAGTCTAAACTATACAGCTACTTGGGACGTAGCTCCTATATCCCTTAATGCTCAAAAAATTTCTCAAGTCTTTTAACTTGAATGATGTATCTATCTCCAGAGTAATACCAGTTTTGTTTTAATGAATAATACTGATGTACTCACCTCTTTTATCCTTCCGTTCTTTGAGCCAGTCCTCTTATTTCAACCGTTTCATATGGTATTTCATACCCGCATGGTAATGTATTTGAAGCTCACCAACCTTATTTTCCACACAACATATATTTGCACACATGCACTGCAACGCATCTAACACTGCCTCAGATTTGCCCTATGTTTGATCACACTGACTTCTGAACGATTCTTTAATATGATGTGCATTTCCTAGTTATCTATGAGCTTTGTTTCCCCTGTCTGATTTTTCATCATGTTGCCTGTTTCCAATTAATAAAGAATAGAAATTTGTCAGTAACGTACCTTTCCTCCATTAGTTCTCGAATTGCTGCCACAGTAGGTCCAGAACCAAGATGTGTGTAGTATGGACCTTCATCTTTTTCTATGATTTGTTCTGCAATTAAAAAAAAGGAAATTACATTATTTAACTACTTTCATTTCCACATGTCAAAGTATGGAGACTATAGAAGCAAGAGTCTCCTTCAGATTATACCTATAAATGTTTAGACTTTTAGTTGTACTGTATTTCTGAGTCTTGAAATTTAAATCCCATTTAACAGCTTGATAGAATGACACTTAAGCTGAGATCATCACCAAGTTCTGGAATACTGATCATGAGAGAGAGCAGTCACATTTAGGAGCTTGAGAGATAGTAGGAACTGCAGATGCTGGAGAATCTGAGATACCAAAGCGTAGAGCTGGATGAACACAGCAGGCCAAGCAGCATCAGAGGAGCAGGAAGGCTGACGTTTCGGGCCTAGACCCTTCTTCAGAAATGGGGGAGGGGAAAGGGGTTCTGAAATAAATAGGGAGAGGGGGAGGCGGATAGAAGATGGATAGAGGAGAAGAGGAGAAGCTTGCTTACTCTTGAGCTACACACATTTGGTACACAAAGCATTAAATCCATCCCTCAGTGTGGGAGTGGGTGGTTTCAGTGAAATCAGCTCCAGGACATTAAGGATAGAAATTCCTCAGAATGATGCCTTTAAGCCCTTAAATCTTTAATGTCTTTAAGTCTTCAACTGCTATATCAATCACCTTCCCTCCATCATAACATCAGAAGTGATAATTGCACAATAATCAGCACTCCTCAGAAGCAGTCCATGTCCAAGTGCAGCAAGACATCGGCAGTGTGCAAGCTTGGGCTGCTAAGTGGCAAATAACAATCGTACTGCACAACTGCCCAGCAATGACATTCTCCAACAGGAAAAGATCAGACCATTGTCTCAGACATTCAATGGTATTATCATCGGTGAATTAGCCAGTTTCTTTGACCATCCGCAATGTGGCTGGCTATGAACTTTACTATTACCTCAACAAGTTAGAATTCTGCAGTTTTCTTGCTCCTGGTTGAAACTGATCCATGATTTTTCTCAAAGATAGTAGGAACTGCAGATGCTGGAAAATCTGAGATAAGAAGGTGTAGAGCTGGATGAACACAGCAGACCAAGCAGCATCCTGCTCCTATGATGCTGCTTGGCCTGCTGTGTTCATGATTTTTCTCAAGCATGGTTAAGATTACGCAATGGATCAAATATAGGACTGTCCAGGGGACTCTGTCTATTTGATGTCGTGCTACAGCGTTTCTTTATTAAATCAAATCATAGATCATTATTGTTTAAACTCTAATGAAGACTAGTACATAATGTGTTATGCAACCCATAGTGGAATAATATTTCATGCAACCAATAACTAGATTATGTGCCAGCACATTTTCCCAAGAAGAATGTTGAACTACACTCAATGATTCCATTGGTACTTGACACAGTTATATTTAAAATCACAAATCCAAAAATTCATTATGGAAAATACAACAGGAGATCGAGAAGTGTTAACACATATACTGCAAATTTGAGATTTGGCCTTCATGTAGAAATGTTATGCACACAATGAACATCGTAGTGATCAGCGGATTCTCATGACTGCATCATGTGATTTGTTTGATTTTTGTATTTGATTTTATTCCTGGATTTGTTACAGAAGTTACATCTTATCCACCAGACATGCAGTTCCAAGAAGTAACCACGATTATTGATGCACCTTTATCTTAGCATATAATCATCCATCTGTCAAGCCTCAAATTTTGTCACCAGTCTTATCAAAACCAGTCACTTTTTAAAGAAGAAAATCAATAATCCCAGTTATTTACTGATCAAATGGACCAACAAAGATGAAAACAAAGAATTTTGACAATGAAAGATCAAACAAAGCATACTCTAAATACCAGAGATAGTAGGAACTGCAGATGCTGGAGAATCCGAGACAACAAGGTGCAGGGCTGGATGAACACAGCAGGCCAAGCAGCATCATAGGAGCAGAGAGGCTGACGTTTCGGGCCTAGACCCTTCAACAGAAAAGGGGGAGGGGAAGGGGGTTCTGAAATAAATAGGGAGAGAGTGGGAGGCGGATAGAGGAGAGGATAGGTGGAGAGGAAACAAACAGGTCGAAGAGGCGGGGATGGAGCCAGTAAAGTAGAGTGTAGGTAGGGAGTTAGGAAGGGGATAGGTCAGTCCAGGGAGGACGGACGGGTCAAGGGGGCGGGATGAGGTTGGTCAGTAGGAGATGGAGGTGCGGGTTGAGGTGGGAGGAGGGGATAGGTGGGAAGAAGAACAGGTTAGGGAGGCAGGGACGAGCTGGACTGGTTTTGGGATGCGGTAGGGGGAGGGGAGATTTTGAAACTTGTGAAATCCACAGGGTTCCCAAGCGGAATATGAGTTGCTGTTCCTGCAACCTTCGGGTGGCATCATTGTGGCACTGCAGGAGGCCCAGGATGGACATGTCATCTGAGGAATGGGAGGGGGAGTTGAAATGGTTCGCGACTGGGAGGTGCAGTTGTTTATTGCGAACCAAGCGTAGGTGTTCTGCAAAGCGGTCCCCGAGCCTCCGCTTGGTTTCCCTGATGTAGAGGAAGCCACACCGGGTACAGCAGATGCAGTATACCACATTGGCAGATGTGCAGGTGAACATCTGCTTGATGTGGAAAGTCTTATTGGGGCCTGGGATGGGGGTGAGGGAGGAGGTATGGGGGCAGGTGTAGCACTTCCTGCGGTTGCAAGGAAAAGTGCCGGGTGTGGTGGAGCCGGAGGGGAGTGTGGAGCGGACAAGGGAGTCATGGAGAGAGTTGTCCCTCCGGAAAGCAGATAAGGCTGGGGCGGGAAAGATGTCTTTGGTGGTGGGGTCGGATTGCAGATGGCGGAAGTGTCGGAGGATGATGTGTTGGATCCGGAGGTTGGTGGGGTGGTACGTGAGGACGAGGGGGATTCTTTTTTGGTTCTTATTGCGTGGACAGGGTGTGAGGGATGAGGTGCGGGAGATGTGGGAGACATGGTTGAGGGCGTTCTCGATCACCGAGGGGGGGAAGTTACGGTCCTTGAAAAACGAGGACAACTGAGATGTACGGGAGTGGAATGCCTCATCCTGGGAGCAGATGCGGCGGAGGCGAAGGAATTGGGAATAGGGGATAGCATTTTTGCAGGAAGGTGGGTGGGAGGAGGAGTATTCTAGGTAGCTGTGGGAGTCGGTGGGCTTGAAATGAATATCGTTTTCTAGGTGGTTGCCCGATATGGAGACAGAGAGGTCCAGGAAGGGGAGAGAGGTGTTAGAGATGGTCCAGGTAAACTTAAGGTTGGGGTGGAAGGTGTTAGTGAAGTGGATGAACTGTTCGAGCTCCTCGTGGGAGCACGAGGCGGCGCCGATACAGTCATCAATGTAATGGAGGAGGAGGTGGGGTTTAGGGCCGGTACTCTAAATACCATACTGGATCAGCACATACTTTAAAACTCACAATCAACAAAAGTTTGAGACAAATTAACAGGAAAATTATGGTCAGTTTTCAACTATTAGTTACACACAGTTAGCCAGTACAACGAAGACAGATCTTAGAAATTGGCTGAATAGTCCAGTCAGTATACATGTTTTTGATCTCAGTCACATGGTCGTTTAAATCTCTCCGCTTTTCATGAAGAATTTACCTTCCTTGTAATTAACCTGATTCCCAGCTTACTGCAATCAGGATGGCGTAGATCCACCAATGTTCTCTTCAAATAACAAAAACAGCTGGAGAAACTCTATGTTTGCCTACTTTCAGCATCCGGATGTCGTCTCCATTTCCTTAGCCTTCCTTCAATATACAATGGAGATTTGAGAGCCATTAGCTCTGCGTCCTTTTGTATGGTTCATCCAGTTTCCGTCTCCCCAGGTGTTTTGGCTTCGAATCTAAGTTTCAGTTTAGAAACTAAAGCTGTCAGTTTCTTTTCACAGTTCTTTTTTTCGTTAGGGTCTTTCTCAAAAAAATGACCATTGCTTTCACCACAGCTTCTGTAGTCTACTTAGAAATCGCAATGCTGATTTAAGTCCTGATCTTTGAACAAGAATGGGATGGTAGAACATGGAAATTAATTGGATCACTGCATCACTTCTGCCAAAATCCAGCCTACTACCACCTTGACAATTCTTTGAAACACAACATGTAAGAAAATAAAAATTAGAAAGAGAAACAGACCACTTGTTTCATGGGCCTGTTTATCAGTCAGTAAGATCATGGCTCGTCTGACCATGGCCTAATCAATTTGCTGACTGCTTTATAGATGAAAATATATCCTTGCAGATGAAAACCTGATCCAGCCTGCCCTGTTTACTGGGTTAGAGAATTCCAAAGGTCAACAATTCTTTGAAAAAAGAAATCCCTCCTCATCTCTCTCTTAAATGGGAGACTTAAGTGCTAAAACAGTTCATTCAGCACTGGAATCAATTTAGTGAATCTTCTCTGAACTCTTTCCAAGGAAAGTACATCCCATCAATGATGCGACAAAAACTGTGCTCTATGTGTGGTTTCAACAATGTGGCCTGTGTCATAATGATCTCTTAGAACTCCAGTGTTTTCTTTGCAGCAGCCATGACCTCACCTGTGATACTGTTCAGCACAACAGCTGTTGGTCTCTGGGTGTAGCAAGTGACACCTCTATCCCTAGGGACTTGATTCAAAGGGAAGACCCAATGGTGTGCCTGACTGACTCGTGATTCTGCAAGCCTTCCCAAAAAGTGACCGTGCAGGTCCCACATGAAGTCTCCAACCAGCAGACAAGACCCTGATATCTCCGCAAGATTCTGCCCTATTGTACTGGCCTAATTCAGCAGTCTGGAAGCATGGACAAAGAATTCATACTCAAATGTCTCTGAATTTCTAATTTGTATTAAATGTCTGCAAAATGAAAAACAAAAAAAATCGATAAAAGTGATAAAGAAACAGCTGGTTTGTTCAGCTGGATCCAACTAGCTCACTGAGGTTTTGTAGGGAAGGAAGGTTACAGCTTTACCCCGTCTGGTTTATACTTGACTTCAGTCCCACTCGGAATGGTTGAATTTTAACAGCCTTTTATACAATCCTAGCAAATA